CTCAGTTTTGTCATGTTTTATTTAGTTCCATTTAGTTTCACCATCTTCCATCTTTCAAAATCAAGATGAATCATGTTCCACTGTTTCAATATTATGTCAGTCATGTCCTATCGTTTCCAACCTGTGTTTCTTTCAGAAATGTTCCCGCTGGGGGGGGGGGCACTTCAGATTTGATTGGGGGGGGGGGGGGGCGCGCGGTTCCGTTGGGTTTTTTTTTTGGTATATTTTTTGCCTGGGGGGGGGGGGGGGGGCCCCTTTGCTTTTACTGCCCCCCCCCCCCCTGAGATGTAGCTGAAAGAAATCCTGTTTCCAACATAATTTTTTAATGTTCAATTAATTTCAGTCAAATTTAGACATATTTAAAGAATTTCCAACATCTTACTTTATGTTCAATCATATTCCATCTTGTTCTTTCTCCTTTAAACATGCTCCATCTTGTTCCATTATGTTTTATCTTGTCCCTTCATGTTTCACATGCCAAATATGTTAAGTCATGTAACGATCATATGAGGTGATGATGTTACTTGTCTTATTTATTCACATTCACAGACGATGGTCCATAATAATTTTAACAAGCACATGAATCATAACTCCGAGATTTTGCACCACAACATTTATTGATTGATTAACGTACACAGGATGAAATAATAACTCTGTAGACTAGAGTAAAATATAATTCGTCTTATAACTTCTTCCACTTCACATTTGTTGGATCAACATTAAGATGCTGTATTGTACAAAAGTAAACATAGCAAGTGCTAATCGAGAAATATGCTCAAACCACCATTCATCCGGGTCCTTCTCTCTCTAACCTAAGTAGTATAGTACCGGTATGTAGGAATGAGAACTTCGCCTAAACTGTTTTGGAGGTTTAGGAGGGATGAAACCAGAAGTGACCTCCTTAACTAATTTAGTAGGGATGGAAACATAAAGAACTTTAGGAGGGATGACACATAAGGCCTCCTATAGGAGTTGATTTTTCTAATATTGTTAAAAAAGCAAGTTAATTTTAAAGTATTATTCTTATTGTATTTGTTAAACCAATTCTATCGAATTGTTCTCAAACTTGGGTTAGGTTTTTTTTCATATGAATAAAAACATCTACACAGTTCAAAAAGAAGTACCACTTTGCGAGAGACAAGATAATAACAGATTATCAGGTTTCATAGAGTGGAAAACGACTGGTCCCCTTGTACTATATAGTCGCTCTATATAGATGCAAATTAAAGACGAAACTTCAATTAATTACAAAGTATTATAAAAAAAAAATCAATTAAAACAACACACTTTGAGAGATTAGTGAGCTATTGAGACAATTTTATATAGATAAAAAAACTATCACACAACAAGAATATCCCTTCCCATCGTCTGTTGAGAACCACTCAATGAAACAAGATCATTCATATAAATAATATATCGTTTTCATGGTCCTACAAAAGACTTATTTGAAAATATTAGAATACAAAGCAAAATACACCCTTGTTACCCCCATACAATGAGAACCATTTGATAAATTTAAGTAAACTAAACTACGAGATCTCAAAATAAATACTAAATTATGCGTTAAAACAAAATATTAACTTTAAATAGACCACGCTATTAACTTAAGTAAACTTAACGACAAGAAACAACACACAAAAAGTTGCCGGGCACGAATTTGACACTAGTTCATTAGAGATAACTCCTGTTGACATAGTACAAGGGGACCAGTCGTTTTCCACTCTATGAAACCTGATAATCTGTAATTATCTTGTCTCTTGCTAAGTGGTACTTCTTTTAGAACTGTGTAGACGTTTTTATTCATATGAAAAAAAATATACCCCAAGTTTGAGAACCACTAGATATTAGAATAATTTTAAACAACACTAGAAAAAATCCAAGAATTATTTCCAAAAAAAGCTGACCATGACACCTAACACCAGTTTGAGAACAATTCGATAGAATTAGTTTAACAAAAACAATAAGAATAATACTTTAAAATTAACTTATTTTTAACAATATTAGAAAAAAATTCAATGAAAACTCCAAAAGGAAGACCCCCACATAGTAAGAACCACTCACAAAAATTTTAACAAATACAATAAGATGAATAATTTTTAATCCTATTAGAAAAAAAATTCAATGAAAACGCCAAAAAGAAGACCCCCAACACAAGTTTGAGAACAATTCAATAAATTTTAAACAATTTATTTAAAAAAAATTCAAATACAACAAGAATAATAATTTTAAACACTATTAGTAAAGAAATACATGACACCTAACACTGAGAACCTCTCAATATTTATTTTATTGAAAGTAATTATCACCATTTTAAAATTAAAAAAAAAAAATTATGAGAATCCTTTGATAGTATTTAGACTTTCTTATTCACTTGTATTCCTAACCCAAGTTTGAGAGCACTTCGATAAATTTAAAAAATTTAATTTAAAAAAAAAATAATTTAAAAACAATAAGAATAATAATTTTAAACAAATACAATAAGAATAATAATTTTTAACGCTATTAGAAAAAATCCGAGAATTATTTCCAAAAAGAAGACCCATTTGAGAACCAAGTGAATATTTAACTTATTGAAAGTAATTAAAAATTCATTCGATATTTAACTTATTGAAATCAGTTATCATAATCACTATTTTTAAACAATTTTCAAATATTTTGAGAAGGATTAGAAAACTTAATTTTAAAAAAAAATCAATTAAAAATTTAGCCTTACAACAACAAGAAGATTTAATTCAAAATTTAAAAAAAAACATGTCATACAACAAGACGAGCTATTATTAATTAAAAATATTAATTTAGTGATTATCGCCCTTAATCAGCTCCTATAAGAGGCTTTATGTGTCATCCCTCCTAAATTTCTTTGTTTCCATCCCTCCTAAATTAGTTAAGGAGGTCTCTTCTGTTTTCATCCCTCCAAGACAGCTTAGGCCAAGTCCTCATTCCTACATACTATACTACTATCCTTCTGACTTAACTTTCTGTTCTTTCTACTTAACAAAAAAATACATTATTTCCAAAACAAAATTAATATCTAAATATTTGATCTGTGACAAGTCAGATTTATGCATGTACCATCAAGTAATACAATGTTTTTATTATTTCTCTTATTTTCCGCATAAAATTAACAATATAATGTAAGGATTTAATCAGATAATTGTTTTATGCATTAACATTGTTCTATGAATTATGCACAATCCTTATTAGTTTTTTGTGATAGCCCCTCATCTGAATTCGAATACTAATATGGCTGTGATACTGGGTATTCTCTTATACTCTTATTTGATCCAATGGCAAGACTTAGTCAAGATGACTGGAATTAGACCAGAATGCAGCAGATGACGAGCCGTGTGTTATTGTGTGATTCACTGTGCTCTTTATGCCTTCCACATTGCAGGAGAGGTCAGAATTTTCATCTATTCAATGTCATGTTAGTGTTCATCCTTTGCATGCAAAGATGACAAAGGCCATTTTACTGTTGTGTAATTAATAAAAAAGCACCAATTTTTTTCATGCTTTGTCCACTGTTTATTTTTAATTATAAGCCAGACTGAAATAAATGTTACATCGCCTACGGAACTGTCGGCACTCCATCTCCGGGTTTGATCTCCGAGATGACCTTCTCTTAGATGAGTTGCTATCCTGGAGTGCTGGTGGTTTTTTTTGCTTGTCTAGGCTTTTTCTGGGGATTGAACTCCATTCTACAAGTTTGGCCACCCAACACCTTTTATAATTATATTTAATGGTAACGCCGATGGCAAACAGAGGTGCCAGACCCTTTAAAGCTTGCTGCATGAACTCATAGAAGTTATCAAATGTTGTAATAGAGTCAATAATGAATATACTATACGGTACTTTAATTATAATCAATAATCAAGTTTTCCAGATTGGTTTAAAGAATAAAATAATTTAGGCAAAATGTTAAAATAGACACTAAAAACTACTTGACATTGTACATTTTTAAAATTTTACATTGAAAAACGTATGTCAATAAATATCATTTTTATAATAAACAATATTAATATTTTGATATTACCCTTTAAGGCAGTCTCCCCCGAAACTATGACATGTGGGACACATCTCTTAGCCTCTGAGACATTTTGTTTTTCTCAAATGAAATTGTTTGATTGTAAATATGGTCACATTAAATTATTAATAGTAAATTAGGGCCCACTAATAGCAAATTAGGTTAAACTAATTATTGGGCCAACTCCGCCGTAGCCGGTCCCAAGCCCGGGTGAGAAAGGAGGAGGGTTGAGTGAAGGGCTAGCAACCCTTCCCTGTGCAAAAAAAACCTGCTACAAAAACACGAACAAAGATTTCAAAAGGAAACTCGGACCTAGGAAAAGATGGGTCTCCTAACAGAGAATTAATGAAGTTGGGTGGCCAAAGCCAACTGGAACAGATGGAGATGGATTGGCACACCCTCAGAAAGCCCGCATCACGTGTCACAAGACAAGCCCTCACCTGGAACCCCCAGGGCAAGAGAAAAAGAGGTTGACCCAAAATGACTGGGAGAAGGGAACTGGAGGCAGACACCAAAAAGAGTGGGCGCAACTGGGGACAGTTGGAGAGACTTGCCCAAGACCGGGATGCCTGGAGAGCTTTTGTTTGTGGCCTATGCCCCAGACGGGACGACAGGCGATGATAATGATGATGAATTATTGGGCCAAATTTGTCTAATTTACTACTATTAGTAGTAAATTAGACCAATTTGGCACACTAATAGTAAATGCTGTGGGAATCAATGATGACTCCTTAGATATGATGTTTATAAACCATATACCTTATGAAATTTTCCTGTATATTTGGAAGGCATTTTTTAATATTACTATTACTAATTATTATAAATAATATAAGTGAGAAATGCTGATGCTATGAGAGAAAAATTTTAAAAAGTGCAGCCTAGAGTAATTGTAATTAAGTTTTTGGAACATTGTTTCAATATTACAATTTTAAATACAAAAATTCCATTAAAGATAGAAATATTTCAAGAACAAAATTTAATGTGGAAAAAATCTTGCAACAAAATCTATCGGCTTAAGGGTTAATCCATATTTGCTATCCAGGACTGGTTCCGCTCCATCCACTTTGGTCATCTTACATTTCTGCACAAGCCTGGTAAAAAACATGAATATTTCCATCCTGGCCAACTGCTCCCCAGGACACTTCCTACGGCCAGCTCCGTAAGGCATAAAGTGTTCCACCACGGCACGGTCTATTTTATGCGAGGCGTCCAGGAAGCGTGTTGGGTCAAAGTTGTCTGGATCATTAAAATATGCTGTGTCTCGACTGACTGACCAGAGATTCACAAAAACTAAAGTCTTCTCAGGAATCCTTTGAAAAAAAAAACAATTTGATTTTCATACAATAATTATTTAGAACAGTATTCAGATGCAAAATGTCTCAAACATTTCATTCTTTTGCTTCTATTTTTTTTTACAATAAATCTATTCAGCTTTGAGTTATTGAACTAAGGAGGAGAAAGACTCTCACATTACCGGTACCAATCATATTGTATGATAATGGCCCACTGATAGATCCGTGGCTAGTTAAATTTAACTTTAAACATGCTTGGACAACTTGATCCTGACTGACCTGTGTCCAGCTAAAGTTGTTGTTCTAGTGGTGCTGTGCGGTAGAGCAAATGGGAATATACAGGAGTGTCTCATCACCTCAAGGATTGTCGCTTCTGTCAAGGGCAGATTCGGGAGATCTTCCAAAGAGGGATGGTTATCTGGGCCCACATTTTTCACTATCTCTTGATAGACCTGTCAAAGCAGTAATAGTGTAACAACAAAAAAATATATTTTTAGAATGAAAAGAATTACTGGTAGCTTAATGTGTAAAAATGGTCACTAAGCACAAGATTATGTGTTACTTAATAAATAAAAAACCCATCTTATATAACTAATTTCTCACATCCCCAAAAAGTACAACTGGATGCTAGACTCAGATTTAGAGAAATATTTAGTGAAACTATACATGGAAAATAGTTTTTAATCTTATTCTTTCTTCAGTTAATTTAAACGAGACTGAAACAATCATCAGAGAAATAAAGCAAGATTTCCTACTTTGTTCTGCACATCTGGATGTGTGACCATGTACAGCACGGCCCACTGTAAAGTGCTGGCAATTGTGTCAAACCCTGCACCTATCAGCTCTTGAACTGTCGTCAAAATATGCTCATCTGTCAAACCAACTGCCTCTTTTTCTTCACAGGATGTGTCATGGACTGCCTTTATGAGGCAGTCTGTTACATCACGAATAATGCTGGGGTCGTAGGTGTTGAGATGCTGATTAAGTTTCTCATCACAGAATTTGTTCATGAGGTCAAGGATTCGCAGGAAGCCATTGAAGGATCTGATGCATACAGATATTTAACTAATGAGAAAATTATATAAACCTATATTTCATTTCACATACAGTATGATATTGAGATGTCCAACTGCAGAGAACAAGAAAGTATCTAGAACAAATAAAACCTTTTAAAATGTAAAGTTAATTTTTTTTTAATTTTTTAGAATAACAGTAACTATAACTTTGCACTTTTAAACTTTGGACATTGTCTTAGAGTAAAGTTTAAACATCTGTATTCATTTGATCCCATTACTGTCACATTCAAGTTCAAGTAGCTTTCCAATATTTTGAGCTACCAATAAATAAAGAAAAAAGTATGTAGCCTAGTTTTTTTAACTTTCAAGTTTTAAAACTTTTTGATACCATACTCGGAGTAAAGTTAACAAAGACAAAAGAATAAATAGTGTAATGAGTAGAAAAAACAAACAATGCTTGCGCATCAAATGCCTTGAATGTAACAAAATGGACATCAAATGCCTTACATTTGTAATATAATGAATACAGTAGTAACATCTTATAAATTACTTTTATTGAAATAATGAGCCAAATATCTTTGCCAAAATTGTTATTTTATTCAGATCAGGGGTGGGCTAACTACAGCCCGGGGGCCGCATGTGGCCCGACAACTGATATTATGCGGCCCTCGAAGGCATTTATAAATAAAAGAAATTACTTTGTTGAATTTTACAGAATTTCATATACCGATATGATTGTTTTAACATTTTTGTTCAACTTTCTTTCCAATTTTCTATTTTTTTTAATAGTCCTTGACTCTTGTCATGTAATGCTAAAATTCGAATTTACTGATTTTAATTAATATAGAGAAATGTTTATCGACATGTAAAATTGGACACAATATAAATACGGCCCTCCAATAGCTTTACATTTGACAATGTGGCCCTCTGCACAAAAAGTTTGCCCAACCCTGATTAAGATGGTAGAAGAAATACCTCTTGGTAAAGTGTCTGGTCCATGGCATAATATCCACTGGATTACCTGCCCCTGCAAAGGCCATGAACTCATCATTAAGTTTGACAAGGCGAAGAAAATCAGGGTCATCTCTCCTGGATAGAAACAACCATTTAGATATATTTTGGTCACTACCAAAATTAATATGTTCACATCTCCTTACGCATGTCCATATCAAAATATGTAAAACTCAACATATAAAGTTGCAAGGATACAGAGAAAATAAACCTTTAAAATAATCAAAATAATCATGTTTCCAAACTCTTACTCTCCCTGCAGTAAAATGATTTACTTTTTACAACTTTTCCAAAGTTATCTCCATTTCATTTAAATGCAACAACCAAGGACATCAAATAATTTATACTAGAAACTATTATGTAAATATGTTACTTCAGTACCTTACATGATTTAAAATTTTTGTTTTATTAACACTTAGGTATTTTAAAAAAAGCATTACTATCACTTTTTAAAGCTGTGGTCCACTTGAATTTGATGCCTAGTTTTAGGGATACAAAGCAAATACTTGATCAGTAATAGAATTGCCTTTCTTCTACTTTTATAAAAATTTTAATAATCACAATGGTAAAAAAAACAAGGACATCAAGAGGACATCCAAAAAGATTCAACACAGGACCAAACTTACTTGTATCGTTTACCAAAGCAGATATCACAAATGATACTTCCAACAGAAAGGTAAATCTCATTGTGAGGATTCTGAGGCTGTGAGTTTGAATCCAGGAGAATCCTCACCAGAGTGTCTGCCTCTGATCGAATGGTGGTCTCAATGGGTTGTGACTTCTTGTTACTGAAAGTTGCCAGGGCATTTTGGGCAATCCTGGAATGGACCCCTAACTGTTTTAAATTCATAACATTGATTAATAAAAATACATTTGTAAAAACATTTTTTTTTTTAAAATTGTATTTAAATTACCGGTATATGCTATAACCAGCTTACATGCTACAATTTTATATTTTTTCTTGTGCCCCATTTTTCGCCTGAAATCGAATCTTTTATTAAACGCTATCATTAGTTTGTTTAGGATTTTTATTAACCTTAATGACAGTAATGACCCCAGCTTACTTTCTGTGCATTTTCCACCTTCCTCCATAGTCACCAAATCCCATGCTATTTCCATTACCAATGAACTTGAAAGAGTAGAAATCTGGACGTCCAGCAAAATCTTCTGCCTGTTTGACCAGTGCCTGTCGTATGGCTTTAACTCCATTGATGACAACTGTTGGCCGACTACCCATGGTTATCTGGTAAACATCACCGTACTTGTTTCTGTGGACAGGTCATACACTCTTTGCTCACATCAAAACACACAGGAACCATAACATCAAGCAGGCAGGAATAAATTATAAAAATTAAAAGTAATAATCTGAAACATGTCAGTGTAAGTTGAGATTTGAAATTTGTAAGATAATGTGAAACTTACCTGAAATCAGTTAGTGTAAGATGAGGCTTCTTTCCTAACTGTAGCAAGTTCCCCAAGATCGGGATGCCCCTGGGGCCAGGCAGTGTTGTCCAGTCTGCAGGGAGCACAGACCGCTTAATCAGAGTGATTGACAGTAAGATGATTATGACACACAGAACTGGTGTGCTTAAGATTATGGTCAGTTGGTTCAGCTCCATTGTCTTGATCTGTTACTGTTTGAAAAATGTAGCAAGCAATAACAGGTAAGATTTTAATTACAGATAAATATTGAGATAGGCTTGATGTCTTCAATAATTAATAATCTTCTTGACAAATGTACTGACACTGATGCAACTCATAAAGTAAAAAAATCATTCCCAAATAAATACAAGGACTCGGTATTTCTTTTCTTTTTTTTAAACAGTTTTATTGTTAAGTGAGTGCACTAATTCAGCTGGTGTCTAAAAACTGACCTTGACATTATGGCACCAGATATCAACACTTAATCCATCCATCTGTTTATCTCTACGTAAGGTCCATAACTCAGGAAATAAGCCAGGAATTATCCCAATAATTATTTATCCCCAGCTCTGGCACTCAATAAGTCATTGGCCCATGAGAGTATTCAGACTTATCATTGGATCATTAATAGCCTAAATTGAGCTAACGTATCATTAAACTTCTCTTTCATTGAATCACTTGATATATGTTACAAGTTCATTTATTTAAATAATATAAAGGCAAAGGGCCCGAATTGTAATAATTTCATGTTGATTTTATTACTTTTCATAAAGTTCGAACCATTCAGATCAAACTAACTATGCTACTGGATGTAAATGTAAGTACTACCGGTATGATCATTGAGAATAGTGGAGTGGCTCAGTCCTTTAAACTTGTACATTTTCAATATCCCACCCCTTCACCATGGACAATGGCCTAGGGTTAGACTATACAAGTATTAAAACATAAAACAAAAAAAAACAAAAAATTAAAAGATCCTTATTTAATCTAAAAAGTAATCACTTCGTAAAGGTCACTTTAAAAATAGAAAACCTCTTGATAATGGGTCACTTTTTGTAATTGAAAAAAAACAACAGTTTATCAAGTTTAGCTATTTACCCAGTAATCGGACTTGACTTTGTCTCTGAGAAAATGTTCAGGAAACAAAATGTGAACTAGGACCACGCAGTAATTGATCGTCGAACAGTCTAACACTAACATGTCCAAAACACACTCCGCAATGTCACACGTCTGGTCCTAGTACTAGTGTACCCAGATTTATGTGGGCTGCTCCCGCCCCCACCCCAAAACACACACACAGAACTCCACGGACAGGAAACTAGGTCACATGGTCAGTTTCATGCTGACCGTACTATCAAAGCCGGCGTGACACGAATCGACACATTAGAATAATAGTTAACAACAGACTGCGACTGTTTTGGGTGCAATGATAAAAAAATCCCCCTCTTTTAGGTGTTGATTGTTCTCCAGCCCAATATCTTCCTTCCATTTAAGTTTAAGTGTGGTGCTCATTATTATACATACATATTTTTCTATAATTATTGAATTTAATTGAATTCAATTATAAGACGTGTTAAATGCAAGATGTATTTTTATGGTATGCAAGATGTATTTTTATGATAGACACGTTAAATGCAAGATATGTTTATGATATGCAAGATGTATGTTTATGATGTGCAGGATGTATGTTTATGATGTGCAGGATGTATGTTTATGATGTGCAAGATGTATGTTTATGATGTGCAGGATGTATGTTGATGATATGCAAGATGTATTTTTGTGATGTGCAAGATGTATGTTTGTGATATGCAAGATGTATGTTTGTGATGTGCAAGATGTATGTTTGTGATGTGCAAGATGTATCTTTATGGTGTGCAAGATGTATGTTTGTGATATGCAATATGTATGTTTGTGATGTGCAAGATGTATCTTTATGATGTGCAAGATGTATCTTTATGATGTGCAAGATGTATGTTTATGATGTGCAGGATGTATGTTTATGATGTGCAAGATGTATGTTTATGATGTGCAAGATGTATGTTTATGATATGCAAGATATATGTTTATGATGTGCAAGATGTATGTTTATGATGTGCAAGATGTATCTTTATGATGTGCAAGATGTATGTTTATGATGTGCAAGATGTATGTTTATGATATGCAAGATGTATGTTTATGATGTGCAAGATGTATGTTTATGATGTGCAAGATGTATGTTTATGATGTGCAAGATGTATGTTTATGATAGACCTGTTAAATGAAAGATGTATGTTTATGATTTTGTTGTTGTTGCTTCGGGTGTAGCTAGCTCGAGTCCTCACGGAATTAAAATTAAAAAAAAAACTTGGTGAATTTATGACTGTTTGATAATTCGTATTACAACACCGCAGACTATCTGAAAATTCTGTGTGTGTGTGTGTTTGTGTGTCTGCCCTGGGTTGGGGGGGGGGGTTACTGGGACTGACAGTGTCGACACTGACATAAACAACAAACAAAAAAAACCGACAAAAAAAAACACATGTCATTGTTTAAACAAAGAATTCTCAATATTATTGACAAATAAAAGGACAGCAACAGACAATGTGATACGTGAATGGTCGATAAGGACAGCAACAGACAATGTGATCCGTGAATGGTCAATAAGGACAGCAACAGACAATATTATACGTGAATGGTCAATAAGGACAACAACAGACAATATGATACGTGAATGGTCGATAAGGACAGCAACAGACGATGTGATACGTGAATGGTCAATAAGGACAACAACAGACAATATGATACGTGAATGGTCGATAAGGACAGCAACAGACAATGTGATCCGTGAATGGTCAATAAGGACAGCAACAGACAATGTGATCCGTGAATGGTCAATAAGGACAGCAACAGACAATGTGATCCGTGAATGGTCATTAAGGACAGCAACAGACAATGTGATACGTGAATGGTCGATAAGGACAGCAATAGACAATGTGATACGTGAATGGTCGATAAGGACAGCAACAGACAATGTGATACGTGAATGGTCGATAAGGACAGCAACAGACAATGTGATACGTGAATGGTCGATAAGGACAGCAACAGACAATGTGATACGTAAATGGTCGATAAGGACAGCAACAGAAATGTGATACGTGAATGGTCGATAAGGACAGCAACAGACGATGTGATACGTGAATAGTCAATAAGGACAGCAACAGACAATGTGATCCGTGAATGGTCATTAAGGACAGCAACAGACAATGTGATACGTGAATGGTCGATAGATTTGTTTTCATTCAGTCCGTCAACAGCCTATTATACTGACATGTGATGATATGGACAAGGAAAACAACAAGTGTACTATGATGATATGGACAAGGAAAACAACAAGTGTACTATGATGATATGGACAAGGAAAACAACAAGTGTACTATGATGATATGGACAAGGAAAACAACAAGTGTACTATGATGATATGGACAAGGAAAACAACAAGTGTACTATGATGATATGGACAAGGAAAACAGCAAGTGTACTATGATGATATGGACAAGGAAAACAACAAGTGTACTATGATGATATGGACAAGGAAAACAGCAAGTGTACTCTGATGATATGGACAAGGAAAACAACAAGTGTACTATGATGATATGGACAAGGAAAACAACAAGTGTACTATGATGATATGGACAAGGAAAACAGCAAGTGTACTCTGATGATATGGACAAGGAAAACAGCAAGTGTACTATGATGATATGGACAAGGAAAACAACAAGTGTACTATGATGATATGGACTCTGGTCAAACTTCAAAATACTCAGAAAAGGTAATTATGTTACGTTGAGTCTTATTATTTATTTGCGTTAAAAATGTGAAATAATGTTAGCAGCTTTTTGTCTTGTTTTTTGTGATGGAAACATTTTTTTTTTGTTGTTGGAGGGACTTTTTAATGTGTTTACAAAACTATTTTCCCGAGGCAGGTTGTGTAACAATGATTCAGCTTCTTGGCGTGACGCTGGTAGACTGTCCACGTTTCATATCCGTAGAGCAATGTCGAGAGGACTGCTGCGCTATAGACCTTGATCTACGTTTCTCGTCTGATACCTCTCCTGTCCCAAACAGTGCTGCGGAGCCTGCCAAATATGGCACTAGCTTTTTGCGATGATATCGACAAGGAAAACAACAAATGTACTTTGATACCCCAATGAATGATGACAGATAGATTTTTTGTGTGTTTCAGTCGGGCTCAGATGGGTTTCCTGGGTGTATTAATAATTTTTTTACAGCCATCTTACTTCCTGGAACTTGATAAACATACATCACAGCGTTCACAGATCATGTCGAAAGTACATCGTTAAATTCTGTGCCTAGAGGATCGATATTTCTTTTTAAATGCATGAAGCTCGGGGGAGGGGTTGTTAACCTTTTTGCAGTGCTGCACCTTTAAAAAAAAATTATTTCCAAACAGTTCCCTCACCCCCCCCCCAACCCCATCTCATTCAAACATATTTCCCGCATCCACACACTTTAAAAAAAAAATCCTAATAAAAATGCAAATAAACCTCCTTTCTAGGTCTTCCCGCCAGCACCACTCCCCCCCCCCCCCCCGCCCC